CCCGGGCCGATCGCCTGCATGTGCCCGTATATATTATCCTAAGAACTTTCGCGTAATTACCGTTTTCGTAATATATTCAAAAAAGCTCTTATAGACTGTCAATATTTTATTATATTAACATGTGTATACTATAATCATCAACATTTATGTATAATTAGAAGTAATTAAAACCATAACAATACGTATTAATAAATTTTATATGCTTGTGCATTATAACGGGATCAGTAGATTTAATTATAAATCATGTATCAACTGGTTTAATTAGCTGAGGTACTTACATCTTCTCAATTATCCTCTCGAGGTTAAGAATAGGTAGAATATGCAATCAGAAAATGCATTATTACAACCTTTAAAGCTGATACGCTGTTAAAATCTGGTCTATAGATTTTTCTTATATAAATCGACTCAAAATATAAAGAATTTTCCACAATCACGAACATTGATGTCGACATGGATAATTGGTAGCGATATAAATTCCCAATTATTTTTTTCTCAGAAATAACAGATCTACTTTTCAAGAAATGTCTTTCCATGCTCCATCGATTTTCTCTTCGATGCCTCGACTCGTACAGTTGTGTAGCACAGGAAACGTCATTGACTGTGCGGGACTTCATAACATACAAAATTCGAAGGCACTGAACAATCAACGTACTAATATGCAGGATGGAGAATTACACAGAGAAGTACATGAGGGAAATAAAAAGGAATTTATAAGACAATTAAAAAAGAGATGACAAACAATTCTGTGAAGATGACAATGGAGGGGGGAATATGCACCTCTAAAACGTCGGTCAATATCTTCCAGACTACTTGACGCAACGTCCAAGAAGACAGCCATCTTCGCGCTCGTCACCCTGAGAACCTGAAAATCTCGCGATAATTAATTTCGTTTCGACATACGACACTAAGGACAGGAAGGTCCTTTGCTTATGCGTAGTGTTTGCCTGCCTTCATGCCGATCTACGGCCGAGAAGCAAAGCAAACCAATGATTTTTCTTCCTCCTGCCATCCACAGCAACTGTCATTTCCGTGCCCATCTGCCTTGTAAGCGCACGTGCATCCTGGTTCGTATTCTTTTTTAAGAAAAGCAGTGATTAATTTAAGAGGTATCGCGCTAGAATAAACCAGATCAGTAAAACAATTTCCTAATTAAAATGCCGGTCATTATGTGACATGACCTCAGAACACACAAGGAATGTGCGAAGTATCGTTTTCATTCATTAGCCTGGTAGAAACAATTAGGCTAGCCTATTAAACACAACAAATAGGCGGTAGAAAGCGAACGAATTGAACCATTTATTCAAGATCAGCATTTTCATTCGTTATTTTATAATCTTTGTTTACATTAATAATTTTTCCCTTCTCGTTCTCTCTCTTCCTCCTTCTTTCTTTTCTTTCTACCTTTATCTCTTTCTTTCTTTCTTTTCTTTCCTCAGGTACATTGAAAAGAAGCCACTGTTTTACGTGTTCAGACAAAGTTCTGGTTATTACGTTGACATCGGCGGCGAACCTTTTCAGTTGAGTCGACTTTATTCACAGAGGTCACGAGCCAGTGGACCTGAGGTCACGTGCCAGTGTTGCGACACAGAGTTCATGTCAATGCACATAATTCAGCGCACGACGAGGTCATTTCTGAGGTCAATTAAGACCTCGTGCGTCTTTAAGTTAACCCCTCACGTGCCCCATTATGATGGCGGGGCTTGGGGTCACTTCGCGCATCCATCCGCTGTTAATGGAGCGGTAAGAAGATACGGGAAAATCGAAGAAGCGAAAGACAGAGGAAGAGAAGATAAAATTAAGAATGGGGGAATAAAGAAAGAAGCAGGGACGAGAGAAATAGACAAGAAAAATAAGGTGAGGTATAGAATGATGCGAAAACGCAGAAATAAACAAAAGAATGAAGGCAAGAAGAACAGAAGAAAGGATGCAAAGGAAATCCGGAAGAGAATAGTGGAAGAAGTGAAATGCAGAAAAGGAAAGTTTAAAGAAATAACGAAAGATTAAGTAAATGAGAAAGGAAACAGAGGACGCTTAAAGGAAAGAGGAGAGAGAAGGAATGAAGAAAAATGTAGAAAAGACAGAAAGAATAAAACAAATGAAAAAGAGAGGAAGGAGATAAACGGAGAACAAATAAGAATAAAGGAAGTTAAAGGAGGAAATGACAGAAAGGTAGACAACGTAAAGAAAGAAGTTGCTGAAGAGGAAACAGATAATATGTAAAGAAGGAATGAGGAAACGAAGAAATTGAAGGAAATACAGAAAAAGGAAATGGGGATGAGAAGACGGAGGGACAGAAAGCCACACAAATAGGAGGGAAGAATAAAGAAACAAAAGGGACGGGAAGATACAAAGAAGAAGCGAACAATAAGTTGAACCTTTTGCCCGGATCTCCTAAATGTGTAAAAGCCAAAAGTAAAATCCCTCCCTTGCTTAGCAAACACGTGGAGCCATTGACTCCACAGTGTGTTTGCTCAGAGATACAACATATAGGCTTACACTGCACTCTGCTGGCCGGCCCGCCAGCCTGAGAACGCAAAGCGTCTTTCTTCTGTCAATACCAAGCAAGCAGGATCTTTATGTAGCCACGCATAAAATGACGACAAATTTATGTTCTTGGCACGTCCAGTTGAGGTGCCCGCAGCGATATGAATTTTCAAGCGCGACTATCGGTAATTGAAATGCATAAAATAATAAATTGAATTGCATCAAGCGCGAAGTAAGTTGGAGTGAAGCCCACATGACGAAATGGAGTAGGTCAGCTTATTGATAACATGCATAACCCTCTTTCCGAGGTACGCGGTTTGAACCCCGATCTGGGAACGGTTACACTGACAGAGGTGTTTGCGATTTCGTTCAGTCACTCCAAGTCAAAATAATGACTTAAGAATAGCATAGTAGATTCTACGCGGATCCCTGCAACTTCACACTTTTCCTTTAAGAAGCTTATAGTCGCTCAGCTGGTCAATAAATTAGCGGTCTTTATGAAACTTGAATGTTCATTACCGTGTTCACAAAAGCCCGCGTCATTACGAGTCAGTTTAGCCTATTCCCCCTGCCTTACAAATGAAGTTGTGCGGGCAACCTATTTGTCATCTCTGATACTACATCCCTATCGTGCGTTAACTTTAATATATTTCGTAAAATTTAGTATTGAACTAGTGTCGGTTACTGCAGATGCGTGCTGTGATGTGAATTTGTTCGTGGGACTGAAAAATCGATCGAGAAGAAGCTCTTAGAATAAACACTGCTTATAGGTTAACGATGGCCATTCCTCTGATAATTCAGTAGCCACCAAACACTCCAAGGCAGACCGCAGACCGTTTCGCGTTTAACACAGTGTTTGTCGGACCACGTGGAAGAACCAGCAATTTCAACGCCATAAATCTTCCCTTCCTCTAACGGATTACCTTTACTTGTAGATTAAACTTGGGCCAATCGAAGGCAAGAATTTCAACAGATCACATCTCAGTAAATACAGCGTCTAACTTGCGGACAAGAAGACGTGGGTTCAGTTCCAGGCAGGTGCAGATACTTTTATCTATGCCACCGCATCATGATTGGCTCTGAAGCCCACCGAGGCTCCCATAAAATGAGATAAACCTGCTGAAAGCCTAACCATCTCCATCTAGTGCCGACCTTAAAAGTGAGTGGAGTTTTACTTCCACTCCGCCATGCGTCTTCATGGGTTACCGCTGAAGCACAGGGACAATAACGCATTTACACCAAAGGTAGTTGGCTCTGTGACTGAATAGAATATCGTAAAGGAGTGCAGATTCTACGAAAATAAAGCTCCACTCGCTGTAGATGTGAGGTCTTCAGGTTCTCTTAGAAGCTTCCAGCACCAGCAAGTGACGCTGTTGAGGGACAGAAGATGGATGTAATTGGCTCAGGGTCATATTTTCTAATGAAAACTTTCACTAGAATTAAACTTCATCTAATATTCTATTAACGTAAACTTAAAGTTTTTTAAGAATATGGTAAATGAAGTGTTAGCACTGATGCATCATTTGGTAAAAATCATTTATTGCCAATATATTATCAATACGATATCAGAGAATTACACCAACGTCTTCTTCATTGCACCAAAAATGCCCATATTATATAAATAGGAAGTTAACAGATGTAATCATCTCCTGACGTAACGTAACACACATTCATCACAGTTCGCAAGTCTGTAGGATTCCGAAGTGACCATCACACAAGGATAAAAAACCTTGACCTTTCCTTGTAACTAGTCACAATTATTGAGCACTGGCCATTTTATGGACAAATAAATACCAGGAACTTGCAAACGATTCACAAAACAAGCAGTCGTTATGTTTACGAAAAATCTACTAGCACTGAAGCTTAGTGAAGTGAAGTTTAACCCTTGGTCTTACTGAAAGGGCCGCAGTATTTTGTAGATTTGTGCAGTAATTAATCAGCATGTTGAGGTCAATTTGTGCAAGGCTAAAAATGGTTTAACTTAGAACATAAACAGAAGGCAGAACAAGTTTTGGTGAAATACAAGAAGCTAATGACATTCAGGATAGAAGACTGGTTTAAAATCGATATATGTCGCTTGTAATATCGAAGGGTTATAAATTTGGTATTGTTAATATAAATAAATAAATCTGTTGACGAATTTTGGGTGCCTGAGTTCCGGAATCAGTTTTCTCGTCTAGAATCGCACAACTTTTGCTTCTGTGCACCAGAATTTGTTGTTTGTAGGAAACTAACTGATTAAAATATATACAAAGTAACAACTTTGTAATTAAACCGGAACTAGACCATAAAACTAAAGTTTCTGAGCTTCGCAAATGGACATTTATATAACATTTTATATTTAATTTTTATATATACTAGAAACAATGTTTTGAGAAACGCATTTATACCCAATACATCTAACATATCCCACTTTTGAATATAGCCCTTAGACTAATTGTCATAAGAAGTAATTGCCGTATTTTTATAGTCACTTTTCTCAAGTGTCATGGCCGCTTGACCCCATTCCCAACAAATACTCAACAATATTACCATCTGTCATTCTTCGCCTTGTAAAATATAACAGTTGATAAAGTGTTGTAAAATAAACAAGGAGGGCAGGTGGCCAGTACTACGTGAGCTTCTCCCCCCCCCCCAATGTAAATGAAACCAGAATGGGGTGTATTTCTGTTACTAATACAGGATGTTCTTAAAATCGGGCGACTGAGCGTGGTGCAGTGGACAATACTGCTGGTCCCTGCGCGTCAAGAATACTTCGCGCTCCGCGATGTTCTGTCTCGCTACAAAGAATGACGACCCGGTATATCCCAGTTAAGGCTACGTGAAGACCGAGTGAAAGCTGAGAAGTTTTCGTTTATATATTGACCTTTATGTATACCGTATTAATCGTATTGCACGTAACTTAGAAAGTTAATTTATTATTGTTTGCTAGCCACGTCACTGAAAGTCTCGAAGTGCCATGTCAATTTAGACTTTATTACGTCATTTCTATTCCATGATGCCTTTTAAGTGTTTAATTATAGACGACGAAAATATTGCTTATTTAAACATCGGTCCAGTGTTCACATCACAGAATTAATGCTTATCCCAGAACTGACGAGATTTGATCCACTACAACACGAATGGAAAGTGTGCTTCGGTCAGGAGTGTACAAAATCGATAGACTGCGCACCTCACTGGCCTTAAACCTTTTAAAACCCAGTGGTAAATATATGTCCCACCGCTTCAACAATCATTAACCCTTAATTTTTCATTTATGGGTTCCATAGGATTCTCAGAACAAACAGCGATTATTTCCTTAAACAGCATCTAGCAGTTGATCTTTTTAATGGTGAAGTGTAGTGTTTTCTTTGCGGTACGGACTGAATTCTTAATTATTATTTAGACCACTTTCGGCTACAAAGCGTTAATATTTATTTATGGAAAATATAATAGTATCTAAGAAGTGTCAAGAAATAAAATATAGCAGATTAAACTATATTTAAAATTAAAAAATACGGAAGGAAATTATTCATTAAATGAAAGAACAGATAGTTACAGACACGTTATGGAAACTTCACTTCGTTCAAACTAAATGCGTGTGTAGTGGTGTGGAATTGTGACTGATCAGCGGGTGGCAAGAAAGCAACTCGCTGCCAAAGGGCATCCCCGAGCAGGCTTTGCATTCTCCACGTCAAAAGCAAGAAACTTGATAACTGTCATTAGACAATTTAAAATTCAAAATTAGCTCTGTAAATCACACGTACGTTAGCCTACAGTGGGCAATTAAACAGCGAAGTGAAAAATCTTTCGTTTATCCAAAGTCGTGGATTACATGATGCAGGCTGACTATTTATAATTGAATATGTGTGAATGCAGCATAATTGAACGATTTAATTATTTACACTTGTAGATATAAAGTCGATTAAGATTATTTTAATACGATGATGCACCTGTCACGTTATAGCTCCTTCGAAAATACACGATTTTACAGTGGCACATTCAATTAACGCGCGTAGACATATATGGATGTTCTTTCATTCGGGTGTGTATTAGTCGATACTGAAAAGTTACGAAAAGTTTTATTTTTTTAAGAGACGGTGGGAGATGTTTTTCTACTGAACTAAATACAAACAAAAATCTTGAAACCTGAACAAAATAGTTCGTGAATAGCATGGAATGGGTTGGATTATAGAAAAGTATATGCTTATATTAACTCTGACGATAAGTATGTTGAAATTCTGTTCTATAACTTGTGTGTCCTACAGTTTTAAATGTTGTGTGTGGTTAATGACACAAACAAAACATTTTATCTAAGAAGTTCCCAACGTTAAAAAATTATTGGAAAGTAACACTTTAATTTTTATTCTAATATCTAATTATAAACACAACCGTACGTCAAATTGTATACTTTTCACCGATCCTGTTACAACCATGACTGTCGAACGGAAGTAGTTTCACAATTAAGCCAGTTTTATATTATCCTATTTGTAAAGAACGCCTACTACAGCAGCCTTACTAAAACCATATATAGACTAAGCATCATAGATCAAAGAACCTCTAAGAGAAATCTATTCATTGTTCGAATCTTCATCTTCAAGTTTTATGTGAATATTTCATTCATATTTATTCCCTAAGAATGATTTAGTGACAGGTTATTTTGTATGTCAAGAACGTGTCCCCTATTTTGTGCATCGTCAGAAAACTGGGGGAGTGTATAATTATCGCTAACACTTGAACTTTTAGTAACACAGGCAGATGAAGTCTCAAAGAATGTTTGACTACATTCACAGCCTACTTTCGTCAGGTAGAGATGTGATATGAAGAGGCAGATATACTATATGAGGCCACAGCGGAGAACCTCAATGGGAGGTCCATATGTACGCTTCACTGTCGAATGGAAATGCATAGTGGCATTTACTACTCAGCAATAATTACACTCGAACAGAAACTAAATGAAGATGCAAGAAGAATTATGCACAACAGATGTTATTACAAGGAAAATAGATAAATAAAACAGCAGGTGCAGGCAGAAAGCAGCTAACATCGGTGAATCCCAAAAATTATTTTAAAAGAGATTTCCAGAATATCGACAGAAATAATTGAAACGAAACGTTTTTTTAAAAATCTTAATCTTGCAACGTTACTTCACTTCCACACCATCAAAATTCTTCGGCTCGAGATTATGTATCAATATTTTCCACAGTTAAAGCAAGGACCGGCGGTAAAGTTACGTCACGTTGACGACTCGGTACAAAACCGTGAACCGATGCACCGAATCCTTAACACTGCAGTTACTTGTAGCGATTTCTAATTTAATGTTTTATTATTTCTTAAACACAGCCATTTCCACGCTGCACAGTATAAGGAGACATTCAAAGGAAATTGTCTGTTCTGTGAAAAAAAGGTATTAAAATATTAAAATATGATTGCTGAATAAATATAAAAATTATAATACTACTGCAGATGACCAAATTCCGGACAAATAAATGATCAAAAACTATTCCAAAGGAAATCAGAGTTTTAACCATATTTAGATAAACTAACTTCGTTTAATTCTTTCTCTAATATCATGTAAAGATTCAGTCCGTACCGCAAAGAAAACACCACACTTCACCGTTACGTAGATCAACTATTTAACGCCTTTTAAGGAAATAATCGATGTTTATTCTGAGAAAAATTCGAAACCCATAACTAAAGTCTGTGGAAAAATGTAGAGTTATTTATTATTAAAGCAGGTAATACATATAGTCACCACACGACGTCAAAAGGCGAACGTATACTCTAAAACCATAAATGCCTTTAGTAAGAGGGGAGGGGTTACAGGAAACTGTAACTGTAAATCAAATAACATTAATATTTTTGTAAACGCTTTCAATCAACCAAATTGTCAGTATTAACACAACCGATTAATCGATACTCATCGATACTGGATATTCTGGCGGCTATTGTTTTTAATTAAGATTTATAGCTTTATTGGAAAAATATGTCAGACCTATATTTAAGAAACGTAACTTTATTAATCTAAGCATTGTTGTAGTTTGCAACAATGGATTTGTATCTGTAATAGATTAATGTGAAAATTCGCGAAGAACAAAAATTATGAAACGCACTTATTGAAAATTTAAGTACAACTACATCTTACTATTATTAACTTTTTGTAATTACAATTCTTATAATTCTGGATTTATATCCTTGATCTTATTTATTCGTTAATTCGTGCAGTGTTATTCCTAGCTTTGATGTTTTTATCGTCTGTTTCTACGACAATCTAATACTGGTCTTGTTGGGAGTATTTTTGTTATTGAATATGCTGTTATATTGGTAGCACTGTCTGACGTATGTTTCACTTCCGTCCAAAAATGTTGTAAATAGAGCGTGTTCTGGTTTATTCCCTAACCTTATAGGCAATATAGGAAACGGTTATGTTTGAAAAAGAAATTAGCCGACGATGTTTTCTGTCGTTTTATAAAAATTCATTCGCTAAATTTATATTAGAACCTAAATACGAATTTGGTTTATATAATAGAGCAACAAAATAGCAACTGATTTACAGATTCTTCTGTTTCGTTCTCTATCTAGGGCCATCTATTAATTTCAACTTCTTTCTCACTGTTTTGGTATTCCTAATATTGGTAATTATATCAAGAGATGCAATAAAAGTATTCCAAATAACTAAACCAACCATTACAGACGAACTTGAGCCAGTTCCACCCATCTCTCATTCTCATAACCTGCGAGTTTTAAAGTATTTCCGCAAAACGTTGCAAACATTCCTGGTATTTATAATGAAACACTTCAAGGTTCGTCGGAATACGATCACGATCATAAGGGCTGGGATTATCGAACTGGCATAACACATCCAGAATTTTCGAGAGAGACTAAACCAGGCAAGAAACATGACCGGGAAGTCAGTGAATTCGACAAACGAACGTTTGTCGATGAATGCATTTTATCTGCAAGGCAGGCAAATGCTCACTTGCGTTGCGCAAATCATTTTTTTTTCTGACTGAACAGTTTTCTACACGTCATGCATGTATTTATTCAACTTACTGGCCTGTCACGTTCTCGTTGTGAGATCAAGAGGGGTTGAAACGGGTTTACTGCTCTCCCCATTTCCACCCCTCTCCTCCAAAGGTTCGTTCTCCCCTTCAACACCCCTGTCATCACCACATGACTTCACATCATCGTCACTGTCACTACCAACTTCATCCTGGTCCTCCAGCTTGTCTTCGGACGAACTGTGCCCCTTACAACCTTCTCTTCTCCTGTGTTTTACTGTTTTGCTATTGAGTCCGCTCCTCAGAGAGAGGTCGATGGGTTGATCCTGGACCGGCCCAAGAGACTGCAGCATTGCCACTGACTTGTCGTAGTTCGCAGATCGTGAATCGTCCGTAGGCTTAAATCTGAGTTCATGTTTCGAGACTTCCACTGCTTCCTGCCGATGCTTGAGATCGCGCACCGGGGATGGTGACTGCGAGGATGACGAAGTCGACGATCCTGAAGACGAAGACGTGACGGGAGAAGCAAGACGCTCGGCGCCGTGATGCTTCGGCGACGTTCCCATAGAATGCACGAAAGGTAACAAGAAGTTTCTGGCTGCAGGTGGGCCGCCATGGTGAGGATGATGGAACCCCGCGCTGTGCAGGAAGGGTGACGTGATAAAGGGGACAGGAAGAGACGGAAGAGACGAGGCGTGATGGTGGGACGTCACCTGAAGGGGCAAAAGGGTGTTCCTGGCTGCCCACAGCGCCGCTGCAGCCTCTCCGGTACTCCCATACCCAGGGTGCGCTGTTCCCGGGAGTGTTCTTACAGGCATCACCTGTGCCGACGGCAGAGTTCGAGACTTGCTGTCCAGAAAGTTCTTCGGAGCACCGGTGTTGTTGTTGTCAACATCAACAACACTTGGCAGGTGAAAGGGCTGTTTGACCTCGTGGAAGTGCGGGGATAGTCCTTCCCATAGAGGCAACATTTTGCTATTCTTGCTGCTTAGAGGCTCCCGAAGCACCGGGTTGCTACCAGTGTGCTGTTGTTGTTGTTGCTGCTGCTGCTGCTGTTCCTGCAGAAGGCAGTGTATCTTGAACCAGTTGGAACGCCGTCCGTACCTGGAACCACTCTTAGACATTCCGACCATCAGACACTTTCTTAGGCGACACGCTTTGCACGACGTCCGATTCTTCTTGTTGATGATACACTCACCGTTGTTCTTGCACTCCGAGATGGAGCTCGTGTTGTTATACGTTCTTCCGAAGAAAGACTGAAACACACAACACCTCCAGGTTACACTTTCACCTTTAGTCTGAGTATTAGCATCGGAATATTTTTGGCAATAACTAACCAATCAAATAGACGGCTTAGGGAACACGGAGGTTCATCACCGAATTAGCCACCTATCTCTGTCCTGGGACAGCAAAATCCAATCGCCTTCAACTCCTATATCCCATAGATCCCGCTTGATATTATCCTCCCATCTACATTTAGGTCTTCCCAGCGGTCTCCTCCTTTCGTGCAATAAAATTACATAAAGAGATTTAAACACAGACGTGCCCAAGAGACATCACAGAATATTACCTTTCATTATAAATCCATGCTAAGGAGATTTCAAAGATCGTCAGATATCACCATTCAATATAAAATCATCCGATGGAGATTACCGATAATTAACGAGTATCAACGTTCAATGCGATCATATGCGAGGAATGTTGGCAGATTACCATCGTTCAGTATAGAAAGAAACCCAAACGAGTCCTACTGTAGTGAATGAGGAGAAAGATCATCTTACAGTTATAAGGTTCCCAGGCAATGCCCGCTCGTCCTTCTTATAAGGATAAAATAAAAGTGAAGACGTTAGGGCGATAATTAGTGAAAGTTTGCTAGCAGAAACGACGGAAGTTCTGAATTGCTTATTAGAAAATGATGAACCTATAATTTGGAAAATTAGTAAGTAATTTAGCGGCATCGGCTGGGAGGGGGGGGGGGGGGAATTTAAATAGGGAGGGTTGCATGAGAAGCATGCAGTGGCAACTTGGAACTTGGGAACCATCTCAACATTTGCTTAAAGACAGAGGAAAACCTCTGTCGAGATGGCCGGTCACATGACTTTCCGGATGCACGCTGACTACTAGACAGCGGTCCGGCAGACAAAAAGGAATATAGACTTTTATGGAAGCTACTGTGAAATATCACCTTTTTCAGTCCGTACCTCAAGGTGAATATTTCACCTTTAAAATATCAACTAATTAATGCTGTTTAGAAAAATAATGGCTTTTTATTATAAGAATGCAGAATTATTGACTATCAAAGCAGGTGGTATGTACGAGGTGCGATCGAAAGGTTTCCAGACTGCGCGTATAAAAACCCGTACACTTATCTCAGGTATTAAATCCATCCATCACCCTCGAAGTAGTTCCCCTGGGAGTGAACACAACGATCCCAGCGCCGCTGCCAAGCCTGGAAGCATCCCTGGAAATCTTTCTTTGTCAGCCTGTCAAGCACCATCTGCGATTCTGCCTGAATCTCTTCTATCGTCTCAAATCTCCTTCCCTTTAGCTGAATTTTCATCTTTGGGAAGAGGAAGAAGTCACACGGAGCTAAATCCGGCGAATAAGGAGGGTGCGGGATGACGGCCATGGTGTTTGAGGCCAAAAACTGCCGAACTTTGAGGGCGGTGTGCGCTGGCGCGTTGTCATGATGCGTCGCATGTGGATTTCTTCCTTTAGAATCAGCTGACAGGTCCCATAGCCTATCCCAACAATGTCGCACAAGTCTTTGATGGTACGACGTCGATCTTCGTAACTTTTTCGGGCGTTGTGCTCGAAGATGGTCGTCCAGAACGCTCGTCATCATCGACAGAGGTTCGGCCGGCCCTTTTTAAAACGTGAATGCCACACAAAAGTTTGCGGACTCCCCAAATGTTTGCTTTAGCATTTCATAGGTTTCCGTAGCGGTTTTGGCGAGTCTTTGGCAAAATTTGATGCACACGCCATTCCTGAAATCGCAGGAGGGTCGGTGTAATGCACTACCAAAACGCCCGTAACTAAGAAACAAATGCTAATTCGATGATGCCGGCTGGCACACTGATTCACTATGAATGTAGGCCGCACCCCCTAGCGGCAGAAGCTCGTACTACATCCGGTTCGCCCTCTATTGACACAGTCTTGAAACTTTCCGATCGCACCTCGTATAGTTAACAGAAAACACATAAATCCTTTCAAATATCGGGATGTCTTCTGAATCCCATCAATTTGCTGCATGTTTTAATAAATATTACAAATTATTCACATTTTCTTTTCGCAGATTATGTGAATTACCTGTGTTTTTATGTACGCTATCAATTAGGCCTATACGCATATTTTTACGAATCTCATCAATTAGCTGAATATTTTCGAACGCTCCAACTATATGCACATTTATACAAACACCAACGACAATTACCTACATCTTTTAGCAAATTCCGTCAATTACCAAAAATGTTTCACAACTCCTGTCAATCATCTGCATATTTCCACGAAATCCAGGAATTATTTTTATATTTTCACAAACATCGTCACTTACTTGCATAGATCACCAGGATTACACGGGGTTCATCTAGACCTCATTCCGTCCACACACACACCCCCTTCCCAAACGGAACCAACTGAAAGACGTTCGTCTACTCTCGAAAATTTCTCGCCACTAACACAAGACGACAAAGTGGGTTGAAACGAACTACTTAGTTCGGACGCCGAACGAGGAATGTCTGATCCGAAGTTCATCAGCCGCTGCAGCTTCAGCGTTATTTCACGACAACTTCGTGTTTCATTCACAATCGTCCTTAATATCACTAGACGGTACCCTCGGCAATTCATACGTCGTCATAAACGACGAAATATTCGAGTTATCGATAACGAAAGATGCCACGTTCTTTCACGGTGGTTGTCCATCCAAATAGTTTCGGGAAATATCGTGTCCTTTCTTGCAGTTAGAACACGTTACTCACCTTGCATCCCTCGCAAGTGAAGGCCCCAAAATGGAACCCAGCCGCTGGCTCCCCGCACACCCTACACAGCTGGTTCATCTGTGAGCACACAATAACAGTACTAATTATAAACACCTGTGAAGAGAAATGCCGAAGAATTTGAAAAGTATTACCACGCTAACTGAGGGTATTTATTGGGATAGCATTATTACGTGTGTTTTCATAAACGTTGTCGTGTTGTGTTAAGGGATTTTGGACCTTATGGGATAATATTTATTGCTGTGTGTGTTAAATGCTTTCGATTAGCCCTACATCCTAAACGAGTAATTTACAAATGAAACAAACAAACCAGCTGCTACTTTAAAGCATAAGTTATAATGTTCTTCATCCAAAATTTAATTTGTGAGCATTTCAAGAAATTACTTACGAAGTAATTATGTAAAATTTTCAGTTCCTGGTTGGAAATGATGACAATCCAATACTTCTAAAGAATATTAAGAAGTACGGGCACTTCAGCTAGTTAAGGATCTGACTCTGTATTATAGAGTCTATAGCATAAACACACCGCACTTTCAAAAAAAACAACAGAGTTGGTGTTTAATAAAGTTGAATACAATGATAAAGCAGTAATTATAGGGGTGTATGAAAGTTATATGAAATAATCTGCCACACTGGACAGAGTACATGACGAACAGCATGTCATGCTGTATAGTATTACAGGACGAATGTGTCCGAACAGATCTCATACGCGTAGCAACACAATGCGAGGTTTTGCTGAAACGTGTCGTAACCATCAATTAAATTTATAAACAAAAGACGGTGAGCAGCGATGATACGTCTGGGAAATTCATGGCGCAAGATCCAAAACTTTATTGACAGCCGAATGGATGGATTACAAAATCTCACTGTATCCTCGCCAGAAAACTACATACTTACAATCAACCTCTGAAAGGAAAGATTTCTGAAGCCCTTTTGAAGAAAAAATGTTCATTATCTAACACTGTCATGTTAGAGATTCTGATTGTGATGGTCTAATGTCATTTATGCTGAGGTTTAGAGTGGTTTTGGAGACGCAAACTTTCAAACGGACAGATACTACCCTTCCATTATGTATTTACTTCAAAATAGCTTAGCTTTTGTGCTTTTTTTAAAAATAGTGTATTCATTTATCAGACAACGGATTCCAAATAATATACTACATCTTATTATGATCAGCAAGCATTTTACCCTAATTATAATCACACTGTGCCACGACAAAAATTAATATAAGAATAAAACATGGAATGCAGCGTAATAAATATAATAATATAGTGTAATATGACAATACTGGTAACACAGATATTACACTTCAGTAAAGAACAAGCTTTGAACGTTATTCATGGTTTGGAGATTGCCTAACCGCGTCTAAATATGTGTGTTATTAAATATTATTTTGTTTATAATTAAATGGATAAATGTTATGCGCACAGTTCTTGAAATCAACTAGCAACTTTAAGTTGAATATTGGTGTTGAGGATCAGAGATACCAAGACTTTTGCATATTAGAGATGATTCAGTTGAAAGATTATGATAATAAAGGGCTATATAGTGTACACTGGTAAAATAATTTGACTGAAATGAATATTTTAGAATAAAAGATGGTTTCAGCTCTAAAATAATTCCCATATAATTTTATTATTTTATTGTTCATTGCAAATTAGTAAAAGTCAATGCAATGAACGTTTCATTTGGTGAATCGTTTGTTAATATGTTATATGGTATTTATATATGTGTGTGTACATTATTTCATATTATACGAGTTAATAAATGTTATTATTAAGAGCTTAGACGTTATTAATTAAAATAAAATTATTGGCCAAATAACGGACTTCACGAATACGAAGTCATTTCAGAGATGAAAATACGCTCAGCTAAACAAGAAATTTCCCAATTTACATAGAGCCCGAAAGTTCACTACTGTGTTCACAAGAGCCCTCACTAATCCGTGCCTAATCCATATGAATCCAGTTCAAACCATTTTTAAAGATCTACGTATGACAAAGGTATACAAAATGGATTTTTTCTATTTTGTACTGTGTTAGAATACTGACAATATGTACGGATATACGAATACAACTCATTGACACTGTCAACAAGACGTCCACTTCACTTCAACCCTGAAGAATGAGGCAGCATGTTTGTATGCAACAGGCTCAGCAACCTATCAGACCACAACTGTTTTTACATCCGTGAAAATCTGAAATCCTTCACGAGGCGTGTGATTTTATTTATATTCGCATAAATTAAAGCAGATCAGTGCCAAAGAATTCAGAACACTGTTTAAATTTTGCTTCAGTTCAAACAAACATTTGACATACATCATCTTTTTATGAGACTAGATCAACGATAATAATACACTGAAGCATTCTCCTCTCACTTCATGCTACCACGCGTGTCACAAAATTTATGTTTCATAGAGGTGGCCAGGGATTCTGACCATCACTAAGCTAAAAGCCTATGCAAAGAGGCATAAAGTTAAATTAAAAGTGGTGCAGCTGCACTGCTGCCAACGTTTGATAAATGCATAATTACATCTTCCTGTCTCTCACTTTTAAATATACAATTTAATAAATAGGGACGTCTTATTATACTTGGTGGTAATTACAGGTAATAAACATTGAATGTCGGTTAGGTGTTATAGCTTAAGATATCTTAATTAAATAGAAAGTAATATTAAATATTAATTAGAAAATTATTCACGTTCTTTTAAGTTCATGTAACCCAGTGTTAAATGGCATGTTTTAATTATCAAGTGAAATTTTGTGTAAAACGGCTCACGAAACATTATGAACATTTGCAAGAACGTCAGTTTAAGAAGCTGAAAACGACGTAGAAACTGCGCACGACAGAGATTTTGTTGTAAAACAAGTGTTCACACATAATTTCGAAATGAGTTGCAAGTAAAGATTCGCACTCGGGAGAATGACTGTTCCGTGCACATGTTTGAACACATGTCGACGTTGGAGACTTCAACGCAAGGTTGAGAGAGGAACTCGGATTGCTTGCCCGAAAGTACGATCGCTAATACGCCACTTCATGAAGATGAGGAAAACGTCAAGCAAAATGAAAACTTGAATCAATGCGAGCTAACAGTGCATACTTTTGTTAACAGTGTGCGGCTACACATGATTTAATACATACATATATTATATTGGCCGCTCAAATACAAATAAATTCAATTTAAATAACGATATTAACAATTATTTATAGAAATGATATAATACGCACAGACAATGAATAATTACGAAATCATATTTATAGAGAAGCCTGGAAATGCAGTCTTATTTGGAAAACAAATATTTGAAAGCCATGTACGATACTGCAGGATAAATTCTTGTTAACAAAGCCACGATGGTTCTACACATGTTAGAAACATGAAGATGATATTTACGAAACTTTTATTATGTATAATACTAAGGCATAAAAATAAAATGCTGTGCCTAATTTGAATATACTTCCCCAGAATTTGGTCACAGGCACAGAAGAAAAATCACAAAATCTCATTGAGTATAGGTGATCAGTTTGTGATGCGTGATTACTGGTTTTCTTTGCTTTCTATTTTAAGTTATAGTCAACTGTTTTCAAGTACTCTTCTGTTACCACCTTCACTTACGCATTAAAAAATATTGAACCCTGTGACACGTTTTCAGTTTCGTCTATCATCAAATGAGCATTGACACTTAAAAGGATCGGCGGCGACACTATGCGACAGAAAACAATTTTATCGCTAAAATTTCCACATCACCTTCTTGACTATAAGTGTCTGATCGTTAGCGTAGTGACACAAGTGTTCCGCGCGACTCGTACTTCCCTGGTTTCCAAAGAGGTTTCGAATTAAATCGTTGTGGTTGGTTCTGTGACAACAGAATAGTAATTTTTTAGGTTTCGTAAATGTGGTGATGGGTCGTATTTGAAACAAGCTATTCGTGACTTTCCAACAATATACAATCGTAATATACTAAAAAAATATACCAATAGAAGAGGATTTATTTACACAAAGCCTGTACGATAATGGCTTATCATCAGGATACTACACACAAAAAATATAGTCAGTAGAGTTAGTATGAATCAAAAGGTTTCCTTTATAAGTAGTCAAAAATGCGACAGTTTATCCCGAATATGGTCTTAAGCTACTTATCATTCACTGGCGCAAAGTCCTAGTCTTTCGGTCTTAGTGTGTCTTACAACATTACTTATAGGCACATTAAGTTCATCGTACCTTATTAATTCTAAATTCGGAGAGACGACGGAATTTTTATTAGCTCGCTTAAATAATATTTAACAATTCACTCCGTACCGCAAAGAAAACACAACACTTTACCATTAAAAAGATCAACTGCTTGATGCTGTTAAGGAAATAATCGCTGTTTAATCTGAGAATCATGCGAAACACATAAACTCTGGGGTAATGCAGTGTCACGGAACGTTAAAGCAGGCGGTACATATAATTACCATTTGGCCTTTAAAGGTTAAGTTTCGCAAATTTTATTTTAAATATTATTCGGTACAGATAGTTGATGGTCTTATGGGTTGTTATGTAGCGTAGTATCCCGGGTATATATAAGCGTTTCGGAGGTACATACTGTCTCCATATTCAGTGATTGGATGATTATTACATGACAATATACAAACATTTCTTAATCTGTATGATTTTAAATATGTAGTGCGATCAACTTCAGGACAACAGATAACTGTGACATACAGTAGTAGCAACGCCAGTGACATATGCAAAACTGCACTTGGAAAATATTCTCCAAATTAAAGCCATCTTTCCACTCTCGTGTTATCCATATGGAAAGACGCCCGTCTCTGTGACAGCAGAAAACCACTAATGACAATGAACGCGAAAGACGATAAGTTCCATCATAATTTATCTCCGTTAAATGCATATTAATGTTACTGGCCCCTCTAATTCATGGTCTACCAATTTGATATTCCCAAGATACTTTCCGTCAAATCACTGTACGCGTTGACACCTCTATCCTAGGCACGTGAATGAATAGCGACAGGGTACGTTTTAATATTGTTCTCAAAGTTAAGTCTCCCAAAACATGTGTTGTTTGAGAATTTCACGGCAGTGAGGATAAAGTTCTTCTGGATTTTTGGAGCCGTGTTGGTATCTACCGACGAGTATACACGGCGCGAAGACCCAGAAGAACAACATAATTTCTTTAATGTTAACAGGCAAAAATTACATTACATATCCCGCCTTTTCTCACCCATCCATACTCGTTCATCATATTAATTAATAAAACGTTAAGGACAGAAATTATTTTTATGAAAGTGTGCCAAGAGACTCACCACGTCAGTGGACGCCGATGTGTTCCCCGTGGCGGGCCCCCACCACCTTCCAGCCGTCGTTCCTGCACCAGTAGCCGCCGAACGAGCGTCGGCATCCATCTGAGTCCTGAACCGACTCCTTCAGCATCCCTGCCACTCACATGTTGATACGTGGAGTCGGTTCTCCCTTCACTTCAATTCGAATTTCTACAATTCAGGACTACGCGAAATGATGCTTAATGCGTGTAGCTAAAGTTTATTAATGATTCTTTCACGTGCAAGATACACTAAACGATATTTAGGACCACTTAATAAAATACAGCTTTCACACACTCGTAGAATCTTCTTGAAGTTATTTATTGCTGTGATATATCAAGTACTTCATCAATAAGTCTGTCTTCTTAAACCTTTCCCTGTCTTACTTCACACTGATAATTTTAGATGCAAATTATTCAGCTCTGTTACATCATACTTTCTTGTTACTTTCAGTAACTTTCTAAGAAACATAAAAAGAACTTTCAAATGACAAACTTTAAAGCTGAGATATCTCATTCACTTATCTTCAGCACCATTTCACAGACTAGATTATTTCTTCTAATGAAAAAGAATATTTTATGCTTGTTAACACTCTTATATACTTTAATTAAACTTGAGACATTTCTGCTGAATCTTGTTACATTAAAGTCAATGTTCTCTTACATAAAAATGCACTGATATAACCGTTTACACTGGCATGTGTGCGAAAATTTACTAATACTACAACACGCTGTATGCAACAAGTTTCTCCCTGCATATCACAAACAATTGACACATGATGTTCGTCTTTGGATGCTACAAAGTCGCCCACTGGCTTGAAGAGGCCCCTTCCACCTGGCCGCTGGTGCGATGCTGTTGTGTGGATTCCTCTGCTTCATAGCAAAGTAATCTCTCTCCACCCCTCTACCAGTTGCCATCAAGATGGTCCAGCCAGGTATAACCTCTAACTTCCACCATAATCCGCCAGAGAGAGGCACGTGTCGGAACATCTTCAGAGCATCCGCCTCTTGGAGCGCCCAGTGACATCACTTGCCCGTTGATGTACAAATAAAAACCGAATTCTTCGAAATCATCCTTCCAAATACTTTGAAAAAGCGTGTGAAAATTACTACACAATGGGTATCCAACCTTGTCTCGTCACTAACTAATAGCAATTAATTTATTAGTTTAAAATAATAATTACCCAAGGTGAGCATTTGCGACGCTTATACTTAAAGCAGCAGACAAGGGAAGAAACAGAATTTTTAAATCATTCGGAGAGATTAAAATCAATTAAATTTTAATAACTAGAAACAAATTAACTAATCATCTGGACGACCGGGTATCGGACCGAATGTGGCCCGCGGACCGCCAACTGTATAACACTGGATAACACAACGAAGCAACAAAATTAGCAAACTTAAAATACTCTAACGACTTAAGTTAATGTACCTGTAATGTTGGACATAATTTAATCGGCGTATCCACCCTAACCCGACGTTTATATCAACCGTATTATATGACGTATTTGCCCATCAATTCGAAAATGTAAAAACTTATATCAATAAGAGGGAGAAAGCCAATTATATGACGTGTATTCAAGAATGGTAACATTTCCAGAACGTGGTAATGGACATTACAAATCCACAGTGTCACTAGTAATCAGTGCAGCTGATAAACGCTGGAAGCTCACGTGACGTAAACAAATGAATGTCCTAACATTCAGTCAGTTCACGTGTAGACCTGTTTCAATTGAAGGGTCGTAGAAAAACAACGTTTGGTATAAATCGATAGTAACTATGGGATCAAACGTGAAAAATTACAGACACGGGGACAGAGAAACACGAACAGGGGTAAAAATGACAAAACCCTCTAGAGGGCGCGAGGAATACCTTATTTTAGCCAGTTCTTACAAATCTGTAAAACGTTGCTAAACTACACACAGCTTCAAGTAAATCAGATTTTTTAATTAATAAAGAGTATTTGCCGCAAATTAATTATTATGGTTTCGTGTATCATGTATGTTCATCAAATTAGTTGACCTGACAGAAGAATTTAACTTCA